TATATATATATATATATATATTAGAGTGAATAAATTCCACGTATAAAATAAGAAAAGTGTGTTTCTTCGATATTAACATAGAGGTCAATATTTTCCTTGAATATATTGTCTTCAATCGGTTATTTATAAGCAGCTTTCTTGTTCTTCTCTGGCTGTTTTCTTTACACCATTGAAGTTCTTAGAGTATCAAAAATCTTAAAATACGGAAATCAACGTTTTTTTTCTTTAGGGAAATCCAAAATAGGCAAAATTTGTCACATCGCCGGATTTTTTCCCAATACATTATAAAATCATTTTAGTATTTTAAAATTATCTAGATATATAAATGAATTTGTAATAGTTTAATTTAAAAATGGATTAATAACCGACATATTTCAGGTTCTCTTCCAGGTACAGCCGCAGCTCATGAATTGGTAGTCTCTATAAGACGTAAATGTACACCGGAAGAAGTGTTGAACGTATTGAATACATTGCCCGGTCCTAGGGAAAATGAAGAAACGAATAATTTTAATCCTCTAAAGATCGACGTCTTTGTACAGACGTTATTGAACCTTGGCTCCAAAAGTTTCAGTCACAGTTTTGCGGCTATAGTTAAATTTCATTATGTTTTCAAGGCAAGTCAACGTCACTAATATATAGTTCGGACGTACATGTCTATATATGTGTGTGTGTGTGTGTGTGTCTCACGTAAATGAATTTTAATTGCAGGTGCTTGCTGAAACGGAAGAAGCACAAATTTGTATATTAAGAAATATGTATGCATTATGGAAGAATCACTACCAAATGATGGTGGTATTAACTGACAAGTTTTTAAAAACTGGCATTATTGAATGTAGTGCTATCGCAAACTGGATATTTTCCAAAGAAATGGCATCAGAGTTCACAAAGTACGTTTTGTTACTGCATGTTCTAAAATATTTAATACATATAGTACATATACCAATGTCAAAGGACTTTTATATTTTCAGATTATATATTTGGGAGATATTGCATCTGACAATACGTAAGATGAATAAGCATGTGATGAAGTTAAGCACAGAGTTAACGGAAGCTAGAGAGAAATTGAGGAGAGCAGAGAGTAGGTCGGGATCATCTTCGGAGGATGAAGATAACAATAAGGATAGAAATAGAGAAAGACCGTCGGAAGATGTAGTGGAACGAATGGAGGAAAAGTTGGAAGCAGCACAAGCGGACCAAAAAAATTTATTCCTCATCATATTCCAGGTATAAGAATGAAATATAATTTATTGTGAGAAACCCACATATATAAATGTCAAATATAAAATGTCTCAAATGTACATAAAATCTGTCGTATCTAATATATTAACATACTTCTTTCCCCAGCGGTTTATAATGATTCTCTCGGAACATTTAGTACGTTGCGACACAGATGGAATTGATTATAATACGCATTGGTATAAATGGACAATAGGAAGATTACAGCAAGTCTTTTTATCGGTGAGTTACATCATTGATTATTCGATGATGATACTTAATAAAAATGCATTTATAGGAAGACTTGATAATTATTAATGCTCGTATATTTATATAATCATTTATATACCTCTGTCTTACAGCATCAAGAGCAAGTACAAAAGTATTCTTCGACTTTGGAGACCCTGCTTTTCACCCCAGACCTGGATCCTCATATTTTAGATGTATTCCATCAATTTGTCTCTTTACGAGCATGAAAGAACTTACATCTAAAAGAATATTTCATTTATTTTACTTGTGTAGACATACTATCATAAAAAATGAAAAATAGATTTTTTCAATTCAATATATATATATATATATATATATNTTGTGTGTATATTTTAAATATACTTTTATTTTTATGTGTAATACTGTTCTATATCAGTTTTACACTATTAAATGTATGTATTGCTAATAACCTTATTTTTATTGGAAACTTATGAAATAATTTCATATGTATCTGTCGTTTCTTTTATTATAAATCACCAATTACACGATTGTTGTATAAATACTACAAAATAAATAATAAATATATAAATAAACATAAATGTTATATATACAAGTGTATTAATAATTTAATTATTTGTGCGCAAATCCTATAATTAATGTATATATATATAAAATGTAATAGAATTAGCACACATACACATGAGTGAAAGACGGGGTAAAAGCATAAGGTTCTACTTGGCCTAAACCTTATTATATCGGAAGACTAAAAAAATGTGACAATGTCAATGAATTTTTATGTATTGCGATTAATATAAGTCTATAAACCCAATAAAAGAACGTCTGATTTATACGCGATAACTTTTCTTATAATTATTCTTTTGTAGGAATTCGCAGAAAGTGAGAATTTTTTTCTTTTAACTTGAAAGTTTTCACTTTTTGCAAGTTCCCACTAAAAAACTAAAAAAGATTTATGATCGACTTCTAAACGTCATATATGCCTCAACATTACAACTTGCATTACCTATGCATTTTTCAATCTTCTCTATAATGTTTAAGAGTGAAAACCGCAGGAAATATTATATCTGTATTATTTCGAGGGGGTGTCTGTCTTAGAAAACTGAGCAAATCATGCTTTAATAATAACAATAGTAAACAAGGCATGTACGACGTTTGGTATACGTCCTCAGGGTAGTGTAATTTTCATGTGTCAGGCATTTATAACGCCGTGGCGCACGAAGCGTTCGACCGTTCGTGTTCCTACGCGCCGACCGTAGCACGCAGTGCACGCGTAATCCGCCGTGATCATCGAGATCGACCGTGCGCGTCGAGATACAAACAGTCGCGAGAAGATTGCTTTATTTTTTTGCTTGCTGTTCGTGCTCGCACACTTCAAACGTATTTTCTCGCTGCTCGTCCCATTGCCGTGTGCGACGAAATCGGGCGTAATCTCTCAGGTACCAACGGGGGTTTCCGGTGGCGCTGGTGTTGCAGCCGTCCTGTTGTTAGAGAACGGAGAGAAAGACGTGCGGTGTTGCGTGACTGGGTGCGAGCGACCGTAGCGTGTGTGTTTGTTGTGTTGTAAGCGAATTAAAAATCCTTCATACCTTCTTTTTCGTAAACGTGGATGCGTACGAAGTGAAGAAAGTAAAATTGAGAACGAGAGAAACGAGAAAGAAGCGAGAGAGCGAGAGAGAGAGAGAGAGAGAGAGAGGGATCGAGCGAAAGGGAGAGCGCAAAAGTGTGAGAGAGAGAGAGAAAGAGAGGGAGAGAGAGAGAGAGAGAGAGCACGAGAGCGTGAAAAGTACACGCGTTAGAAAGAGTGAAAGAGACACCGAGAGAGAAAGAAAAAAAAAAAATTATCGCCTAATCTGCTTCGCGAGTTCGACTGTCCGTCCGTCTGTCTGCACGACTAAGAGAGAGAGAAAAGAATAAGAGAGACAAACATGTCGTCCTACATCCAGGTCGCTGAAGATGAAGGCGAGGAGCCTATCGAACTACCCACCGAAGATGACACCACACTCTTACTCACCACTTTGTCCGCCCAATTTCCCGGCACCTGCGGCCTCAAGTACCGAAACCCGGAGTCGCGTACGATGCGCGGAGTTCGGCTGGTTGACGGACGCTTGCATCCGCCCGAGAACGGCTGGGGCAAAGCCATCTACTTCTGCGTATTCCCCAAAGGTATATTTATATACTCTTGTTAGTGTATTCTCAATAAAGTATACTGTGACGATGGCGTTGCCTTGGCGGCGCTTGCATGCGAGCGAGTCGGTATGAATACGGAGATTGCTTTTGTAGAATCGAGATTATCAAAAGCTTGTGAACAAAATCAAGATAACCGCATACCACATTTTCTCTCTGTTTCTTATCGGGAGCTTATTGTTACAAATTTCGTAACAGATGGCTCGATCGACGAAGAAAAATGAATAATTAACATTTATTCGTTCAGAGCTATTTGTCGCTTTGCGTGTCGATGAATCGATCCTAGTTTGAAGAAGGCACATTTGTGCACGATTACCTCACAGTCAGCCCTCCGTATTCGTTCATGCCTTATATTGAATATTAAATGAAGCTTTGAAAATACATGTAGATCAAGAGTAGTTTTAGTAAATTTTAAATTGCAAAAAGCAATAAATTTACAAAACAATTTTACTTTATTTCTTTCAAAACTTATGCGATCTACTTGTATTTTTAACGAGAAAAATTCTAGTTTTAAGTAGAAAATTAAATATTTTTTTCTAATAGCCTATAATAGTTTTTGCGATAATTATACTATGAAAAGATTTAAGGGATATCAAAGAACGATGTGCAATTCATGCAAATTTCAAGCTATACTTCTTTCCTTCTCTGTTTATTTTTTTATTTTTTTTTGCAAATAACCACAAGTTAGACATGAACGTCTATGATATCTTTTCAGAGAACAAACGTAAATCTGATGACAATTTGGAAAATTCCACAGCTAAGACTAAAAGAATGGAAACGAAGTTGCGTTGCACTGATCTGATTGTACTTGGTTTGCCATGGAAAACTACGGAACAGAACTTGCGCGAGTATTTCGAACAATTTGGTGAAGTTTTAATGGCTCAGGTGAGTGTCGTTTACGTTTGCCGAAAGCTGTGTCTTAAAACTAACATGAAAGGATACTAAGAAGAATGTATCTCATAATACTAATTTTTTTATTTTTTTATTTGTTGCTAATCTGTGGTCTTTATTAATCTATTAAAGATAAAGGGAGTGATAACAAATTGTGTTAAGTATAATACATATTTTTTAACAATATGGTTATTTAAAATTCCGGATATTCGATTTTAATTTACTAATTATTTGTATTATATACAATTACATCGTGTAATGACCTAATAAATGGAAATGGTTGAAAAAAACATTTATGATTGCACATTTTGAATTCTAAATATGTTAAAATCCTGTCTGGTGATATAGGTAAAGAAAGATGCAAAATCCGGACAAAGCAAAGGATTTGGTTTTATTAGATTTGGAAGTTATGAATCACAATTGAGATGCCTCGCTCAACGTCATATGATAGATGGCAGATGGTGCGATGTCAAGGTTCCCAACAGTAAGGTAAGAACAACTCGTTTGTAAATCATACGATCTTTCTTACTATTTTCTATTGCTTTTTCAAATACTTAAGAAAATTTTGAAAGGTATTAAATCGGTCGTTTATATTGAAACACATAGGAAAATGAATGAATCATTTTAAAAACAATAAAGGATATTTTGACACATATAACGAAGGTAATCTTTTAAAGGATATATCACTAGTAATATGATTGTTGAGATTATTTTGCGTTATTTTTGTAATTTTTATTTAACAATTAATGAATTCATCAATATCTTCAATTTATTGTTTTTATATTGAGTAATAAAATCTATAGCATATTATCAAATATTATCGATACGATAATCATGTTCTTTGCCGCAAACTGTATATTATTCTCAACAGTAATTTTACGAAATATAAGAAGAAAACTATATTTCATGTTGAGAAACAGTTGTTTTTGAAATGATATATTCAATTGGTACATTATGTCTTAAATCTGTACATATTTTCTAGAGCGAAAATTATACAGCAAAATAATATTAAATATTATACTATGTTTTAGCTGTAATATAAACACACTCACACATACGCACGCGCGCACACATGTGTTAAACATATGCGTGCGTGCGTGTGTGTGTGTGTATCTGTGTCTATGTAAAGAAGTTATATAAGTTTTATTTTTATTCTGCTTATGTATAAACGAGTCTCCAAATAAAAAATCTTCAGTTTATTCCTAAATTTCTTCTGAGTAATTTAATATTGTTAACCATCTAAGAAAGAATATCTTACTTAAAAGAATTAAAAAAATATGTATATACGTGATATACATTGACAGAATACAGATATAATATTTGATATTTAAATTTAACGATATACAAAACTGCATTTCATAAATTTCAATTGCTGTCATTAATTTATGAATATATTTGCACTTGCAAGTATGTACAGGTATAAGAGTATACACATAAATATTTCAAATAAACGATAGAACGTTGTGTGAGACAACAAGCTAAAATTGATAGACTAATATCTTACGAATTTCCTGTCTATCTCCATTTACGTATAATGCTTTAAGCGAGAGAATGTCGATATTTTCTCTTCCTTGGATATTAAGTTCATGTATATGGTGCGTATTCGGTGTGGTATAAATAGGTGAATGTGTGAGAGATTATAAGTGGTGAAATTATATGGAAAGAATGCAAAATGACTGTACGTATGAATGTGTTCTACACAGAAGTGTGATGTGAACGCAAAAGGATGAGAGAGATAGAGTGAGAGAGAATGAGAGGGAGAGAGAATGAACGGCGTTAATGATGCGTTTGCGTGGATATGTAAATAATACGGTATGTTTGAGTCGTTGAACAGTATGAAATCTTTTAAGGTATGACCAATAGACCTGTCGGAGCAGAAAGAGAGAGAGAGAGAGAGAGAGAGAGAGAGAGAGATAAAGAGAGAAAGAAGAATGGATTTGATGAAACGTATTTACCAAACTTGCTTGGCAAACTACAATTAACGCGTCGTGTTTGTTTCTCCTAAGATTTCTCAAAAAAAAAAATGGCGAAAAAGATTTTTACAAGTCTTGTTCATAAATTGTTGAGAGAAAAACTCAGATTCCGTATTCTTTTTGTTAACACGAACGAAAATGCCTACAAAATTGTGTAATATCTCATATGAAGTACGCGTGAATGAGAATATCAATCGAAATGATTATATGGAGAGAATGATTGAGAGCGTATAATCGAACCAAATGATAAATATCTTCACGTTTTCGTATACGCGTTTTTTTTCTGAATATATATCAAACATTGTAATAAAGGTATGATTTTGATTGTGTGTTGAAATATATAAATCAGATTTTTTTTTTTTTTTTTTTTTTTTTTTTTTTTTTTTTTTTTTACATACAAACATACGAAGTATAAGCCCTGGAAGCATTTAGTCTTGAAAATTTGCGTCGTTTGGAAAGTCACGCGGGGACGATCTTTCCGATACTTTTGCATGATTCGATACATATCGTTATAACGTTCAAAGAACGCGGTAGAGTCCGAGAGATTCCTCGGGAGAGGAAGAGAGAGAGAGAGAGGGGGCGGGGGGAGAGAAAGAGCTTTTACACAAAGCGAGACACGTTCGATATCGCAACGATGCGTGATCAGACATGAGAAGAGCGAACCCGCGAACGGATATCTCGGTGTGCTTCACATTTTGCGATTAGCCTCCTGCGCTGCGTCGACTGTTCGCGTTGTTTCACTATCAGCGACGAGCATTCGTATCGGGAAAAACAGTTCCGAAATTCGCCCGCACAGTCTGACACGACTCACGGTATGGAGTTGACGGTAGCGTGTGTGTGTATGTATGTACGTGCGTATATGTGTGTGTGTGTGTGTGTGAGAGAGAGAGAGAGAGAAAGAGAGAGCGCGATCTGCGGTGAGCAAACACCACGCTGAATCTGTTGTCACGATGAGAGCGAGAGTAGTGCGTATGTGTGCGTTCAACAAATTTCAATCAAGTCTGGTATGTATGTGATTGTCGAGGGCTGGTGTATCTGGTTGCAGAATATTGATGGCTTAATGATGGCACGTCAGTATGATACCGGTAAGCACAACGAGTGCTACCGACCTATACCGGTGCACACGCCAAGTAGTCGCCGGGTGCCGGCGTCGAAGCCGTACACCAACGTAAACTCGTCGTCCGAGGTCAGCGCTCCTCCTCCTCCCCCTAGCGCGCCTAGATATGACTCGGAATACGATTACAAAACTACTCATTATCCGTCGTATCCTCCGAATTATCCGTACGACGATAACAAGTACAAGTACGAAAGCAGCGGCAACAGCGGCGGTGGTGGTGGTGGTGGCGGCGGCGGCGGCGGTAGCGGCGGCAGTCAAGCCGCCTACAACGTCTACGAGAAGCCGAGTTACACCGCCTACGAGGAGCCTACCGCAACGTCGTACGACGCGCGCGGCTACATGGCGGCGCACACGGCCGCCGCGGCGCCCAATTCCGCCCCGTATCCGCCGTCCGACGCCGATTACTCGAGATACGCCGGCTACGATGCGCGCGCCGCCGCCGCCTATCCTGTCGCCGAGAATCCGGAACAGTACACCGACAAGGGCAGGTATAATTACGGATACGAGCAGCGAGGCTACTACGAGACCGACGGCCGCTATGCCGGCGCGACGGATTGCCGGTATGCCATGGAGGTGCGTTATCCGGACGCGAGACACTCGGACACCAGGCACATCCCGATCGATACGCGAACGGAAGCGGATTGTAGATACGTGGACAGCCGCGATATGGATAGGCGGTACGTCGACGTGAGGGAGGCCGATGGCAGGTACGCCGTGATGGAGAGCCGCGAGGTCGACAGCCGTGGCTACGGACCGGACGGCCGCGAGGTGGTCGACGGCAGATTCGCGGATCCGACGCGATATCCGGTTAAAGAGAACTATTACGACCGCTATTACAAACACCGACCGTCGAGGGATCACCACATTCACGCGGACGCGTCGAGATACTGATGAGGCTCGTGTGACTATCCGTAAATAAATACGACCAATCATGTTTCAATGGGAATATCGAATTACACGCAGCATGCGTGCTGCACGGTCGGACGAGAGAGAGAGAGGGAGAGAGAGAGAGAGAGAGAGAGAGAGAGAGAGAGAGAGAGAGAGGCCTTTTCTTCTAGGATTCAATACACATTCCTCGACGAATTGTACCACGCATCTATGAATGAAGCAAAATGCACGGATACGCGCTGCTCTCGTGGCGTATCCCATCTAGCACTACGAGAATTGTACAAAGTGTGGGAATGAATGCTGATGATGAGGCATAGAAGAAGTCTGATATGTACATCTGCGGAATATAAGTCTATCGGAAAAACGAGCTTGCTGTTCGATGAGCGAATTATTGACACGGTACTTTCGCACTGATAGATTGGTTGAGTATTCGCCGATGAAGAATTGACACTTTTCATACATATACCTTGTACATAAGGAGAAGAAATGTTACAAAAAGATTGTGTACTTCAACGATTTTAATGCTTTCAATCGATTTGTCTTTTTGAATAAATTTAGATGCATTCAATTCTGCTTCTGTCAGATAACGGTGATCGTGAATTATTTTCGTTACGTTAAAAATCTTAAATAGATGTGTGGTATGTCGTCTGTAACGTGTAAAATGTGTAGATTCTCATCTCTTTACTCTACTACATTTGATCCGGTTTTATCATTTTTACGATCACGTAGTCGGAACGATGTATACAACTACAGTGTGTATATATATTATTCCCATTAATTCATGGTGTCTGTTAAACGTAACAAGTATGTTGTTTAATTGGTAGCAATAATTAGCTTGGAATAACTCTATTGATATATATACATTCTGTTATGTGCTGATCATTCTAATTGAAACAATGTAATATACAGCATGGGATTCTCTATATCGAAATCCATATCGAACATTGATAAAAAGAATAAAGGACGCTGTACAAAGATTGATGCATGGATTTTAAGAGGTCATAGTGCTTAAGAATTCGTTACGACACGGAGATTCGTATGTAACTCGAGCCAATCCGAACGGATAAAATGATATGTGGAGATTTTTTTTTTTTTTTTTTATATATAAAACTTGTCCTAGTGCAGATTAGTTGCAATTGACGGGGAAAGCTAGAATCCCAAGCCGAATGATTGCGCACTGCGAGAAAATTGAAGAATTGTTGCGATAGTGTTTCGATTGCGAGCCGAATAGTAATGTACCTCGTCGCTTAATGATCGACGGAGAGAGCGTCGCGCACGGAGATTCTGCCGCCGCCGTTATTGCGAGTAATGTGCACTGCACTGCAAGTTTTAACACGGATAGAATCTTTTGCAAATGTGTACATGATTGATTGATTGTGCGTTTGTGCGTAGGAGGGAATGATTCAGCAAGTACCCTGCAAGGTATTCGTCGGCCGCTGTACAGAAGACCTAACCGCTGATGATCTGCGAGACTATTTCTCCAAATTCGGCGAAGTCACGGACGTGTTCATCCCGAAACCTTTTCGCGCGTTTTCGTTTGTCACTTTCCTAGATCCCGAAGTCGCCCAGTCGCTCTGCGGCGAGGATCACATTATCAAGGGCGTGTCGGTGCACGTGTCGAACGCCGCGCCCAAGTCGGAAGGCAATAACAAGAACTTCAATAACCAAGTAAACTCAAACATGCGGGGTCGAGGCGCGCCGGGACCCGTCGATAATAGCGTGCAGGGCAACTACCAGGGAAACCGTTACATGGGCCACTCCGGCAATAACATGGGCCCAAACGGCTGGAACAATCCCGGGAATCGCGGCAACCTAGACATGCCCAACCTGCAGGCCCTGGGCATTACCGGGCAGAACAACGGCGGCGGCGGCGGCGGCGGTATGTCGAATCCGTTAGCCATGGGCAGCTTGAATTTGTCCGCCTTGCCGGTCAACCCGGCCTTAATGGCTGCTTTGAATCAGGCTTCCTGGGGCTTAATTGGTAACCTGCAGAATCAGGGAAACGACCAAAGCTACTCGAACCAGCCGGGCCCGCCGGGCCAGCCGCCCTCCGGCAACAACAGCATGGGCAATTCCGGCAACTCCGGATTTCTCAGTTGGATGAATCAAGGTGGCGGCGATGGCAACACCGGCAACCCGGCCACTGGCGGCCCCGGCCCGAATAATCCGAACGCCTCTCAAGGCGCCTGGCAAAATCATCCGGGCCAACGTGATCAGAAGTCGAATACATTTCTCAAGTACGAGTAAATTCAACCGGGGCCGTGGGTTTACTCGTAATAGACGGATTCTCTCCGCGGGTCCCGGCGCACGTACCTTAACGAACAACGTCGTCGGCGGTCAACAACAGGTCGAGGATACGACGAAGCGCGTCGTTCCCGGGAAGAAGGGCCGGGCTCTGCTACGTTGACGTTTTTTCGTCAGCTTCGATTGAGTACCTCCCCCCCCCCNCCGGACCTGCCGCCGCTCTTCTTCTCTTACAGGACCGACGAATTAGCGCAATTCCGTTTGTTGCAAGAGTTAGGGCGTGCGAACACGGATAGCTCCGATCATTGCGTAAACTCTTTTGTATGATTTCGTCGTCTGAGAGCGTGTCATGATTTCTGTGTGAGTTTAATATTTGTACATCGAGTGTGTATCTGCGTGGCAAGTTATACAACTGAATATGTATGTATGTGCTTAGTGTAACGACTGGTACATATTAGAGATACTTGGCGCGAGAGTTGAGATCGAGAGAGATTCAAGTTGCTTTTATAATCGGTTGTCGTTTGATCGAATGGCCAATATTTTCTCTCGCTTATATTGTGTGCTGAAAAATACTATGTTTTCTTCCTTCATGCGTATATATATATATATATATATATATATATATGTATGTATGGGTAAGAAATATATATATATATATATATATATATATATATATGTGTATGAGTAAGAAATATATACATATATATACATATAATACACATTTCATGTATATATATTATATATGAAAAGTGTGAATATTCTTATTTGAATAAATGAAATATGATTATCACATACAGAGATCAGTGACACTACTATCGGTATTTCGCCATTCTATCTACATGTATGACTTATACAAGAAACAGTTTGAGTCTCTCTCCGTCGCAAGTTTCGCCCAATAAGTGCGGCTTTTTAACGGACACTCGTTTGAAAAGGCTTCTCAAGTTAAATTTAACCGCATTTTTAACTGCTAACCACGGTTAACTGAATTTTTTCGCGATCCGTGATGTAGAAAAGATCAAAATAAATTATCAGATATGAAATCGCAATATATACCGCCCTTGCTAAATCAAAGTCGTATGACTTGTCGAATTAAATCGAGTGTAACTCGAATTGTTTTTCTAAACGTTGTTGTATCTGTATACACTACACAGTTGTACAGAGTAAACATCTCAGTATCACGTTTTTGATGGAAGCTTTACGTCATAGCATACTTTCGAGTGGAAAAAAAGCAATGTTTATCTGCGCAAGAACATACGATTTTTGAATTGGATGGTCTCATTCAAAACGCCACAGTCTCTTTTGAGATGTTTCTCTCTTCTAGTGCAATTGGTTATTATTATTTCCTTGGAAGAAGAATTATCATTGTTATTGTTATACATTAGCGTGGTATCGTGTAATCGGCTCGTTGAAGCATTGTAAGCTGATTTTCACAATAAGCTGAACAATGAGATGCCGCTGACCATTTTCTCGCAATAGTTTCACAACTGTTACACGACAAAAGTCGACTTGAAAGCACATAGTAATTGTCTTGGATATCGAATAGATTGAAAATTTCCCTCGCGACTGTGGTGGCCCCCCGCTAACGTGGTCTATTTTACAATAGTAGTATTAATTCGCTAAAAATCGCCGTTCAATGGAGTGCCGGATTGACGAATCGATTTTTCGCGGGAATGAACAATACGATTGTGTCTGGAAGTGTATGAGTGTGTCGGGGAAGTAGAGGCATCGTAAGAGAATGATCGCAGCTACCCGTAGCGTATGTTATTTACCGAGTTCTGTTTCATATATCCCGTGTGTATACATAAGTACTTGATTATGTGAGAATCGTGTTTTACACTGGTGTGTAGGTGTGTCAAAATTATTGATTGGTTGTGTGTGAAAGAAGGCATTTGAAATTAATCAGATTTTTCTATTTTTAGTTAAGCGATGTGAAAAAGAAGCGTCTTACGTATGTGGATGCTTCTCCGGAGTATCTGACGCAAAACGTGCGGGGCGTTTGTAATGCTCGTCGAACAAAACACGATCGAATGAGCTCTACCTGCGCACGCCATGCGTCGGATCTCTACGTGTTGCAAGTATTGAATGCGTCAATACTTTAATGACAAGATTCTCAAATTGTTTTCTTCAACGACAATGAAATAAGTAGCTTTACACGTTGAGAGTATTTATTTGAAAGGAAAAAGAGTCTCTATAGTAACACGACGAGGAACGATGCAATTCACACCTCACAATTATAGTCAATAACTTTAACATACGGAGTATATAGTTATCGCATAATTAAAGACCACATCTGTCACCGCGACGTCACCGGTGTGTACTGCATTAAGAAATTATTTAGAACAACTATCTCCTCAGAACACTAATTACCTTATGAGTATATACTATTGAAGAAAAGGAAAAAAAAACAAAAAATAAATTATAATACTAAGAGATGTATGTGCTGTTGTGCTCTTCATTTAATCGTAATTTTTCATAAAACTTCCTACTTGAAGCGAAAATATTGCTGAATATCGTTAATATGCAATCTATTAGCAAATAATCTCTCTCACACAGTACTCTTTCTCTCTCATTAGCGTCGATTCTTGTCGTTACACGTGTCGTGTACACAAACAATGGAATGGATTCTTGTGAACTTTCAATCTATTGGAATGTTCGAATTCCTTGTGTGTATGACGGTTGAATGTTAACGGTCGTCTCAGAGCTACGAGTATGAAAGTTTTCACACTTAATAAAAATGATGCCGTTTGTCAAGAGAAAGCGCGCGCGCGCGTGCGTGTCTCTTGACAACGCGAAGTGTAGCAAAATGAGGTGACTGAATTAATAATGTAAGGCGAGCGGAAAATTGCTGTATAAGTCTTAGCTTGAGAGTGAGCAAAAGTGGTCTGATGTGTGTTTGGTATATACTTGACCGAGATTGTTTATATGCATATATGTAAAAAAGATTAAATCTCAGAGATTTGAAGTGGAAATAAACACAATGAGATGTGTAGAGCTCGTTGATCGACATTCTGCCGCGCTTCTTAAGTCTGTAAATTGTTAGATTCACTATACACAGAGGCTGTAGTTTAAGACAACTTTTAACAGACATTAGAACCGTAATTAGCTTGTCGCTGACGCACAAACGTTCGCGCTTTAATATATTAATATACGGAAATATTTTCAGGGAACGCAATTCCAATACGCAAGATACGTGAAGTGAAATGAAGTAAAAATATAATTTGTACGAGAAGTAAAATAAAGTGTGGATGACGAGAGAGAGAGAGAGAGAGAGAGAGAGAGAGAGAGAGAGACAACTGTATGATGGACAATAGTCGATTAATCAGTCTGAACATTCGTGCGTCAGTAGTCGCAATCACGGATCATTTCAAATCGTTTGAAATAACGATGCCTACGTCTTGGTGTACTACTACAGATTGATCGATCAGGAGAGAGAGAGAGAGAGAGAGAGAGAGAGAGAGAGAGAGAGAGAGAGAACCACCGCGACACAGTAAATAAGCTCTTCGTGATCCCTCAATAATTCATCTTGTAGAAGTGAGATTTCACGCGACTCACACGGGACTTTACTGCTCAAAGGAGTTGCCTTGCAAAACGATTTGAAAGTGATCTACGAGAAGTGTGTAAATACGGATTGATAAAGCAATTTTAATATCGCTCATACGAGATGTAACGAATTTTACTGTAAAGTTAGCTGTGCGTTCTTGTAAATCGCTCGATATGTTATATTATGTATTCTGAGAGAAAGAAAGAATGAGAGAGAGAGAGAGAGAGAGAGAGAGAGAGAGAGAGATAGAGAGAGAGAGAGAGAGAGAGGAAGTGAAACTGTGCGTGGCAGTTAGTTGAGTTGAAATGTGTGTCGTGAAACATTGTCGTGTGAGAATGTTGATTTTAATCCGTCGATCTCAATTGTTGAGGGATTTCGAGCCGCGTCGCGAGAAAGGACTCACAGTGAGAAACCGCCGTGCGAATCCGGCTTTCTTCTTTTTACACTTTTGAGATACCTCGGAGCTACACAATTCGAAGTCGAATGAGAATTGACTCATCGAGGATTTTTTTACCTGTACCGTGTGTTGCGCGAGACTTTGTGGGTGTGAGTTATTAGTTTGATGATCGCGAACGACGTATTCCCCATATACGTACGTACGTTTTCCAATTTGCGTTGACGACGTGAAATCAATCGCAAGACATTCTCCGAATCGCCGCGGTGCAAAAAATACTCAAGTAACGTCGTTCTCCGTTGATTGTAGTGTATGTTAAACTATGCCGAGAATAAAAAACCCAAACATCGTGGGTATCACACATATCCTCTCACGTGCCTTTAAATATTGAGTTAACGTACAGTGGCGCACTTCCCGGCTGTCCCAGAATTAGCAGAAAATAGGTACAACACGTAGTTTGTTACCTCTCGTGAAATTTGAAAACTAATTTCGTTAACAATGCCAAGACGTCGATTAAGTTCCTTCCGGAGATAAGTGGCTTTTCGCACAAATTAAATCTGAAGAGATGAAAACGATTCATCATTATAAGTCTATGAAAGAAATAGACTTCCGAGTTTTTAAAGCGAAAAGTTGCGAGATTGGCGTTAATTCCGGGACACCTGGTATATTTCAGATCTGTCTGTCGTGCGCACATCGGAGACAAAAATCGATATTTCGTTTTTATCTCATTCATTTTTTCGAGACCCCTTGAAATTCTCAAGAAAGAAAAACATTGTTCGGCTGCGTGCGCAAGATTTTTATTCTCATGAATTATATCAACCCGCACGTCGGAAAACGGAGCCTAATTAGGACATGCAGTTACATCGCGAGATGAGGGCACGGTCGTAGGGCAACGTTTGAAATGATAATATCGTGAAAACGAGAGCGGAAGTGTACGAAAGGTAACGTAACAGTGCACTGGTAACACCGGCCTTTTGGGTGATGATGACTGAATGAAGAGATGCTCGCTATGGTAGACGTAAGACTGTGGAAACGCCCGCTGATCCTCAAAACAGGTGATTACGAACTGATATTTCTCTTTCATAACGCCTCCCATTCATACCGCCCCAAATAACCGCTTGGAGTAATCATAATTATCATTGACTTATCGTAATCTTCGAAACATGTTCCAATAGCCTGATGTTATTTTTTTTTCTCTCTTCTGTTATTTTTACCATACATTTCGTAATATTTCTTCTTCGCGGTAAAACGAAAAATCTTCTTTGTTAGTTATATACAAGGTGTCCCGTTTTAACTTACCCACTCCTAAAACCTTTTTTTATTTTGGATTGTAGAAAAAAAATACTCCAGACAAAACTTGTTTGATTTCCAGAGGGATACACATGATTCCGATATAAATCGTGTCATAGATGTCATCGTTTTCAAGAAAATTCGAAGATTATTAATTTCTTAAGTAGAACTTGATTTACTGATATTTGTTTTTTTTTCTACAAGAGATTTCTAATAAATAAAAATTTAATGAAAACTATGAAAAGAAGCACGCGCGAGGTATTCAAGAGAAAAACATTTCAAAGAATATATACAGGATGAGATATTTGGAACTTTAGAAGCCTAAATATATGAAAAATAATGCAGAAAAGGAAAAATTGTTCCAGACAAGAGTTGTAAGGTTTGGAGAGGGGTGTAAGTTGATGACGTTAATTGTTATATAATCCATAATTCAAAGTCATTTCAATTTCAACTTTTTTTTAACATAATGAATTCTCTGTTCATTCTGCATATAAAAATACTAGAGTAAGATTATCGAATACTTTTCGAGATATTTTACTTTTCATTCTGATATTTTCCAATACATGAAACATCTAATCAAATATTCATTTTTCGATAACATCATCTTAATACTTTTGAACGTAGAATGACAAATGGAATCGATCGCTGTAAACTAACATAGAATATTTTTCGGTATAAGATATTTCATTCATCTATCTTTATTATCATAAACAAGCCATGAATGGATAGCGGGCCGAATTATCTACGATTACTAAAGATAAGTTTTGTTGTACGTTAAAAAAGAAGTGAGAGAGAAAAACATTACACACTGGCGGCAGTCACATCTTCCAGTTTCCTCATATTTACGTCACCTCCTGGAGTATAATAAAACTCACCGATCGTGATTTGCCAAAGTGTAAATCGAAATGTTAGTACTTTTAGTTAGTCCGGCCCCGAGTCCTCGCTTCAACCGGACACTAATTCTACATCCCGATTTTGTTCAACAGCCTACGACAGATGAATATATTGTGTCATGATGAGTTGATGTCCGTACGTGAACGTACCTCTGGATGGAACACGAAGTGTTGATGCACGTGGAAAGAAAGATCGAAAGCGAGTGAGCGAGAGAGAAAGAATTTGGAGAGATATGAGAGAGCGAGAGAGAGAGAGAGAGAGAGAGAGAAATAGGGAGCGTGCGAGCGAGAGAACGAGCGAGAGAGAGGGAGAGAAAGAGGAGAGTATATCTTTGCAGGAGATTAATTGCAAGTGAGATGATATGAGAATGAGCATGATGATGATGATGATGCACTGTGCCGAGAGCGAGTGCTTTTTGAAAGCGTGGACTTTTTTTCGTAAGCGTGCTGTGATGTAAGATCCCTGTGAAAGACACCAGGCGCACATCATGCGCAGTTCACCTTCCGGGATGGTTTAATGGTTTATCGCGTCCTTTGCTTTCAGATTGCGAGAACATCCGTCGCGATCGACGTCGATCGTTGATCGTTAATTGTCGCTTTCGCGACACGAGACAGGTAATTCCCAGGCAGTCGCGAATGCAGAAGTTATGATTGGAGAACAGATCTGCGGGCAGTTTGTGAGAAGTCGCGGTCGATGACACAAACAGCGAGGGACTGTAGGATTAAAGTAATCAACCAATACATGCTCTGATATTTATATTCAACTTTTCTCTCATGTTTAAATTGGTAATTTTTAATTTAACTTATGTAGATATTTATTAAAGAGATGTAAAAATGTCATATAAATATGCCGCACACATACACACAAAACTTGTATCACGCTACATAATGTATATTTATTTGATTTTCTCAGTTTATGCTTATGATGACAGTTCTCTCTGTATTACCAGTGGAAACATAATAATTTATAGAACTGTCTTCCAAAGAGGTAACACAAATATCTATTGGTTAGATATGTATATGAGAACTAATTTTATTTACCTGTTTCAAATTTTATATATATATATATATATATATATATCTGTCTGCCTGCGCACATATATTCTTATCGTGCATCGCGCAAATGAGGACTTTCAGCAGTAATGCGAAGTACGTAATGGATATTAAAGCAATCTCCTCAAGTGTCTGTTAAAAAAGAATCCACAAATTGAATTTCAGCAATACATTCCATCGTTCGAAACATATCGAAGAAATATATATACATATTACACTCAGCTACTGTATGTTGTAAACGTAGCAATATTTGAATTACTTTGAAAACTTTCAATTTGTAAACAATTACCAATAATAATAAATATTAAAGTATTCTATATTACATCATTATTTGATAAATACATGTTTTCATTCGGTGAGAGATACTTGCCCATCTGTGAATGTAATCTTCCGTAAGTAAACCATTCATATATATCTACATGTTTAGGCGTTTAGGCGTTTTTCACGCATCAATATTCTGTATGAACGACAGTGTCGCTATCGTTGCGCAGCTTTTCTACCGTATATTGTACGACAAACTATATCATCGTTAAAAGTTATAGAATAGATTGCTCGAAGGGCGTAAAGTAACGTCTCCATAAAGTTACCTAGGCATGGAAGGCGTTAATTAATTACGTCACATGTATCATTGGACTTTGATTTTGAGTGAATATGATTGTGGAGTAGATCGGGTGGTGATCGAAAAAGGTTAGTTTTACCGACTGTGTGTTATATATATATATATGTATATATATATATGTATACACCTCCGAGACTTATTCCACATAAATAAAAATGGCGCAGCTAGTGACCCTAGGAAGCAAATTCTCCTATTGGATATTCGGCGTCTGACGTGGAATTCTCGCGATCTGTTTTACCGACGAACGCCGTGTGAATGCTGGATGTAAGTGTAGCGCTATAATTGAATGACTGAAGACGCCGTCGAGTGACACTTCGTGCCTCCTTCGGGTTCGAAGGTGGGATTCGTGGTGGTCGGCCGAATCGTGAGAGCGCCAAGTCCATCGATTAACAGGGACGCGAAATAAGATGCACGGTGAGCTCGCAGTTCTCCGTACGCCTACTGGTTGCTGCCGAAGGCTTAGTTACGATCTCGAGCGTGAGCAGCGAGCAGCGTTTTATCGTTGGCCGTCAAGGACGAGAATGATGGAAAGAAGATGGTGAGGCAGCGCTTCCTCGGCCACTGGAATGGGTTCGCAAACGCTGGAGATCCTGAGGCAAGGCGTCTGGGCGAGCCTGACGGGCGGTTGGTTCTACGATCCGCATCTCGACGCCTTCTCCAACACCTTCCACCTTTACGTCTGGCTGTTTCTACTCTGTCTGCCATTCACGATTTATCTGGTACATAGAAAGCGCCACATCTCCGCTCGTTCACTGGCCCCACGCTGTTTATTTTGAGAGTTGCGTAAGTCGATTTCTGCCGTTCAAACGGACACACCAATTTTCCGTCGCGGCTCTCATTGTCTGAGCCGATGATTCGTTGTACCGACCTGCATCACTCTCAAGAGAATCAGCAAGGAGCTGCTGTTATCCAAGGAATGTTTATATTTCCTGCTGCTGGATACCTGCTCTTGGTATATTTGTTAAAACATGTTTATCAAGGGTAACCTCGTATTTCAGTATTTTCCTCCCACGTTATACGTTTGGTTGGTATATTGCTCGTCGTTTGTTGCTGTCTTTGGGACGATAAAGTGTGTGAATCATGCTCTACACTGTGTATATGATACAACCGAGTGTTTGGAAGAACCAGGACAAACTATCAGCCAACAGAAGTCTGAGAGTGAGAAAAAACGTGCAGTGCATAATAAAACCAGGGAACAGTCGCAAGATCAAACAAGCCATGGCATAGAGTTACAAGTTTTGAATGGTATATATCATGTAGAATCCAACAATAACTTCAGTTAATAATAGACTATTGTATTACTTCTTTACCAGGGGTATAATGAAAAGAGGCATAAAGCACCATACTTTGTTACTTACCATAATTCTGTTTAAGTAAAAAAAAACACAATTTTACTATATGTATTTTTATTTCTTCCATATGTATTTTTTTTTCTCATCCATATTTTTTCATTGTTCGATTTTTTAGTTAAACAGATTCCTCTATTTTCATATTGTGCGGGGAAAATGCTGCATTCTATTATTAAGAAGACAAATTTTGCCCTCAGGTAAAACAGACACACCACCTGTGGAATGTTCATCGCGTAACTCATTCATAGAAACAAATATACAGAATGCCGATGCCGATAGTATAACGTCCGAGTACAATCGAGATAAGCCTAGCTCGACTATAGATCTAAAGGTAGAAATACATAGGAAAAACAGTTCAGAAAGCTCAGAGGAGGCCCAGCAACTTAATAAACCAATGGTAACTAGCATTAACGTGCATGAGGCTGAGTTGGTTTCTGCACAGTACCATGAGCCACGTTTTAAGAATATTATAAATGGTAATTGAGCGTTTAATTCTTTATATATATATATACACACACAAATAGATAATAAAAATCTATTCGTTCAGCGTTTTGATCAGTTGTTCCTGTACGTAGAATGGAGATTGAAGCGACAGAAATGCGTGGTGATTGCGGAAGAAGACCGACCGGGACCTCGTAAGTTGTGTCGGCACGCGTCCGAAGACTCGAGAAATCGACACTCGAAACAAAGCAGCCTCGGTAAAACGGGATCTGAGAGTCAAATAAAACAGACCAGTTCGCTGGAGTTGGAACATCCTGGCGACGATTACCCGTACTGGAAATCTAACCAAAGCGTCCGCAGACTTAATTCCAATTCCATACCAATGGAAACACACCTGATAAATGATCATCCGCAGAGTTTGGAGATCATATCGAAAAAGGGAGACACGGACAACAATAAGATTTCATCTCATCCGCAATCATTGGAGGTAAATGAATTCTTATCGTCTGTAGATCGTACCGTTTACTACCTGGGAAACCTGAAATTCTCCGGGAATTTGTTTATGCCTAGGAAAATAGTTTCTTTCGAAATTGTTTTTAATTTAACCATTGAAACTCGAGTGATTCTTAATTTTATTTATATAAACTTTTATGAGTGGAAAACATTGAGGACACAAATATATCACATATATTGACAAGATATATTTATTTTACACAAATAGACTGAAACAACAATTGTCTGAAAAATCAGGAGATTCAAGGAATTGTTCATTTCTTTTTTGAATAGATAACCGAATGAAATATTAAACAACTCGTTTCTTAGCGCGCGATACAAATCTGACAATCTCCTGATCCTCAGGTTATTACGAAGAAACCGCATCAGCAACTCGTACATCCACAAAGCCTTGAAACGATTGGTGCTACTAGTAAAAATACAAACAATACCGACGACAATAACCTGCCTCTTCATCCGCAAAGTCTCGAAACAATAAATAGTAAGAAGGTACTCTTCTCTTGAATATTCATCCGGTTCTTTTTTACTCGTTCGGTATCTCATCTCGCGAATTGCATATTTACGATGCGAATGAACGGTTGAAGGTCTTACCGCAAAACACACTGAAGAGAAACCAACTGCAGCTCTTACCGTATCTTAGTTATGGATCCGAGATAGTTCACCCGATAGCGGAACAGAGCGACGAACAGTTCGCCAACGAAAGTTCGGGAGGATTTAGCCTGCGAGACTCCTTCAGCCCGTTTCTCACGCGAAAGAACATGGGTGACGCGAGCGCTGCGTCCGGTCGAGACCGAAGTCACAGCGCTTGTAGATTCGAAGATGATTTCACGAGGTACAATACCTCAACAACCTTGCTGTCTTTTTCCATTGAATGCGCTAATGAAACACAATTTTCTGTGATTTCTTTCTCTAGATTTAACGATGACAATGCGATAGATAATAACTCGGCAAATTCGCGAGATGCGTTGCTCGAGGAGTCGAAGCCTAGCGTTAAAAGGAGATACAGTAACGCCAGCCAAAGTAGCCACGAGTTTTCCGACGGTGAAAAGACCAAGGAGAAGCGCTCGACCAAGAACACCGAAGACCCGCTCAATTCGGGCAGCGTAGTGGGCATTGATTGGTTGTTCGAGAGCGGCGATTGTCCGATGGACCCTTGGACGAGTAAGAGTAAGTTCAGCGTTTTTAAGAGAAACTTTTGCAATAACCGCAAGAGTGTGGCTGTGTAAGATCGCCGACGAATTATTTTCTTCACCTCTTACGATCAAAACGAACGTTCTGACTGCGATAGGCAGCGCCGTTTTAAAAACATTTAAATTCTATGACAGTTAAATCGCCTTACTCTTACGGCCATTGTAGAACAGCTTTCAGGTAAGAGCAAAAAGAATCTTCCGGTCAAGTAATGTCTCGCTGTATGCAAGCTTATATATACTGTTACGTTTTTTCTAATTCGTGCTGCCAGTATTTTGGACTTTCGCACGCTCTGATGATACGGATACATCAGAAAGCCTACAGACGGCTAGTACAGATTGTAAGTTGGAGGCCACTATAGATTGTGCAGAATATGATTCATAAAGTTGGAATTTATTTGACACCCTATGGTGTGTTCCCTTCTCTTATCAATCAAATCGACTTCTCGCGGTCTTCATAGTAGACGAGTTGTGACACACTTGCATAGCCACGGATAATGCAGAAAGAAATTGACCAATCATGTATCTAATATCTTCTGCATGGATTGGTTGGTAACACGCGGTCTGTTCTTCATCTGCGCTCAATTCACTAGTTCGAAAAGTTTAGCAGAGTTGTCAGAGAAAACCGCGAGAAGTCATGAAAATGTCAGGGAAAGATATAAAAACCTAGAATCGTGAACTTTGCTCGCAATTTCCTTTAAATACATGCTCTTGACTGTATTCTTCCATACACACTTATTTTTTCTTAGCCTGAATTTATGTTACTAAACTTTTAACTTTGTGTTGCTTTTAATAAGCTACCTTTCCTGCAATCTCCCTGCTTCTAAACGTTAAGAATTGATGGAAGAAAGAGACGTGTCGGTTCAGTGAAAAAAACAGATCTAACGCTTCAGTGTATACTTTTTGAACTAGTGCGACCAGTGCAGAAAGCAAACCTCAAGTCGTGGAGAAAAATATTGTACCACAAAGAAGAGCAATTGCTTAGTTTATTTTGCTCTTCTTTTAAATAATGGTTATCTTGAAGAGAAGATATATATTTTTGCTCTTTATATAAGTAGCAGCGTGTCTCGGCATAAGGAGAACGGCATATCTCCTGCATTCCTCCTTTGAAACGTTTCTCTCGTATCATTAAAAACGATATTTAGATGTTCTCTCCTTATGCTGTTATAAAAACTCATCATTATTTGCACAGAAGAAGATCTCTTTTCAAGAATATAAACTTCTATCGAAGAAAAATATATAAAATATATTCCGATCAATCGAATGTTAAAGTTTGTAATATTTTTGAAAAGCGAAAGAGAGAACAATATATTTGGATACGATTGTCGCGAGAATAGTCTTCGTTCAAAATAACCGTTATTTAAAAGAAAGAAAAAATAAAGCCATTGTTTTTCCTCGCAGTACAAGTAATATTTTTCTCCATACAGCTCCTGAAGGCACACGGTCGCGCGTTGATTTGTGCGCAGATCTCCACACGAAGGAGCCCGACTCGGGATCGTCCAGCACGACGACCCTCAGCCTGGAGAACGAGGTGAAGCGGAAGCTGCTGGAGGCGGACAACGTCGCCAACAAGCGTCACCAGGGTGCGATTCCTAAGCAGAGTCGCGCGAAACTGCCGGATACCGCGGACGACAGTATTGCGAGCGCGGAACAGCAGCCGCGGGAGAATTTCAAGCGTTATCTGGAGGTGCGACGAGAGAAGGCCAGGCGACGGGGCAGCGGCGGCGGCAGCGGCGGTGGCGGTGGTAGCGGCGGTGGCGGTGGTGGTGGTGGTGGTAGCGGTAGCGGCGGCGGCGGCGGCGGCGGTAGCGGCAAGTTGGAGCAGCAGACCACCGGCTCGAACAACGAACTGAGCACGCTACTGCCGAGCCCGGCGCCGCCGTTGCTGGCCGCGTTGCTCAACTCCGAGCGGGAGCTGCCCGGGCAGTCGAGCGGCAACGCGTCGTGCGAGCGACGGCTGCACCGCAGCACCGACAGTCGCAACATCCGCACGAGGTACGGCCGGCTGAAGCGGCCGTTCCGCGGCCAACGCAGCGGGCCGCGCATCGGCGGCCGCGACGACAACGTCGTGCCGTTGACCGCGCTCTTCGGCCTCATCTCGACCGGCGAGTGCCACCTGGCGACCAATCACAACGACACGTCGGAGGGCGCGGTGCACTACTTTCGCGACGACAACGGCTGCTGGCTGGCGTACACCTTCGACGAGAAGGCCTCGGACGTCGCGACGACGGCGGCCAGTAACCAGCACAACAACGAGAAGCTGTTGAACAGCCTGCTGCGGCAGCAGCTCAACCAGCACTACGACGCGAACTGGGAGCTGGCGGACTCGCTGAGCAACAGTTACAGCAGCCTGTCGCTCAACTCTGCCGGGCTGACGGTGATAATCGACACGCCGCCGGTGCTGTCGAGCCCGGCCAGCAATCGGACGAAGACGCAGCAGAGCTCGCCGCCGTCCAACCTGGTCTCCTCGAATACCGGCAGCTCGAACCAGTGCGAGAACTCGGAACAGTTCCACCAGCAGACGACGCTGTCGATCGCGCGCTCGGACTCGATGGCCGACCGGAACCGCCGGCTGCAGAACCTCCTGGGCAATTTGAACCTGAACGCGTACCACCACCACCACCACCACCACCACCCGGAGACGGCCACCGGCCGGATGCCGGCGCACCAAGAGCCCGACATCAACACCAGCCTCTCGTGGAACCGCTTCATCGAGGGTCGGCTGGAGGGCCTGGACACGCCGCCGAAGCGCAAGCAGACCCGGCATTACTACAAGTGGAAGATCGGCAGGCTGCCGCACGTGAAGGTGCGCTTCGACCGGCTGGCGCTGCTGGCGCTGCTCGACCGCAACCTGACGCTCCTGGAGACCGTGGCGTCCACCCTGCTGGCGGCGGCGGTGGCCGGGCTGAGCCTCTTGCTGCTGCAGCAGGGCTTCTATCGCGACATCTTCGCCTTCGTCTTCTGCTTCGTCACGGCCGGCTGCCAATACTCGCTGCTGAAGTCGGTGCAACCCGACGCCGCCTCGCCCACGCACGGCTTCAATCGCGTCATCGTCTTCTCCAGGCCAGTCTACTACATCCTCTGCTCGGGCCTGATCCTGATACTCGACGAGACGCTGAGGAGCCTGGGCAAGTCCTCGGACTTCCGGGTCTACGGGCTGCGCGTCGCCGATTACGAGCTGATAGCGCAGGCGCGCAACGCGCTGCTGGTCTTCCTGCTCTGCTTCCCGATCGTCTTCTCCCTCGGGCTGTTCCCGCAAATCAACACGTTCCTCATGTACGTGTGCGAGCACCTGGATATACACCTGTTCGGCGGCAACGCGACCACCAGCCTGGTGTCGTCGTTGTACTGCCTCTGTCGCAGCGTACTCACCGTCTTCGTCCTGTACGGGTTCGCGTACGGCGCCGTGAACGAGCCCAAGTCCTCCCAGCACATCCTCTTCTCCATATTCGCCAGTCTGCTCGTCGCCGTCTCCTACCACCTGAGCCGCTCCTCTTCCGACCCCACCGTCATTTGGGACATACTCAAGGCGAACCTGTGGCCACCCGTCGACAACTACGCGGAGGAGGAGGAGAGGGAGGCGAAGATCATCGAGAACACGACCTCCGGCCGGAAGATCAAAGTGGGCGAGCAGATGTCGGACGCCGAGCTGGTGGACCCTCTGCCCGGCAAGCTGCGCTCGACGGTGAACGCCCGGCTGAAGAACGACCTGATCGTCTGCGCCGTGATCGGCACCCTCACCTTCGCCGTCCACTGCTCGACGGTGTTCACCGCCCTGCAGCCGGAGCTGAACCCGATACTCTGGGGCATCGCCGGCTGCCTGGGCTTCCTCCTGCACTACGTCGTGCCGCAGCTGCGCAAGCAGCTGCCGTGGCTCTGCCTGGCGAGGCCCGTTCTGCGCAGCCACGAGCACGCTCAGTTCGAGGTGCGCGAGCCCGTCAAGATCATGTGGTTCGAGAAGGCCTACGTCTGCCTCTGCTTCCTCGAGCGCAACGTCCTCTACCCGGTGGTCTTCCTCGGCGCGCTCACCGAGTGCACGCCGCGGATCGTCGACAAGTTCGGCGAGAGCGTCGGCGCCCTCGTCGTCGTCGTCTGCGGCCTCAAGTCCCTCAGATCCGCCTACTCGGACCCGTCCACCCGCTACCTCGTCCTCGTCTTCGCGGTCCTCTTCTTCCAACGGGACGTCCGCGGCCTGAGCGAGACCTTCCTCGTCGACTACTTCGTCACCGGGATCGCCTTCGCCAAGATCCACGAGCTCTTGCTCAAGATCCGCTTCGTCGTCACGTACATCGCGCCCTGGCAGATCACCTGGGGCAGCGCCTTCCACGCGTTCGCTCAGCCTTTCTCGGTGCCGCACTCGGCGATGCTCTTCCTGCAGGCCGGCATCTCGGCGATGCTGAGCACGCCGTTGAACCCGCTGCTCGGCAGCGCGATCTTCGTCTCCTCGTACGTGCGACCGGTCAAGTTCTGGGAGAGAGACTACAAGACCAGGCGGGTCGACCACTCCAACACGCGCATGTCCTCGCACCTCGATCGCAATCTCGGCGCGGACGACAACAATCTCAACTCGATATTCTACGAGCAACTCACCAGATCCCTCCAGCACAGCCTCTGTGGCGATCTCGCGCTCGGCCGTTGGGGGAACGTCGAGCAGGGCGATTGCTTCCTGCTCGCGTCCGATTACTTGAACTGCTTGGTTCACGTCGTTCAACTGGGCAACGGCCTGGTGACCTTCCAGCTGAGAGGCCTCGAATTCCGGGGGACCTACTGCCAACAGAGAGAGGTGAGGAGGAGCGAATTTACCAAATTCCTTTCGACACCTATTTATGCGTTGTATTTTTACAACGACTTATATCGGTTATTTTTCATTAACATTTCGTTGTCATCCAAAAATTTGCATTATTCGCAAGAATTCAATTTCTCAGTGATTGAGCCGAATTCGCCAAATATAATGTATCGAAACTTTTTTTGCTTAGAATGACCTCGAGAACACAAGTTTGTCCTGTACACACTCATTTGAATGTAAAAATGCAATGTAATTTAGCTATGGATCCTTTTAGGTGGAAGCGATCTCCGAGGGTATCGAAGACAACGACAATTGCTGTTGCTGCGAAATGGGCCATCTCTCGAATGTACTCAGCGTAAACGCGGCCTTCAGTCAGCGTTGGCTCGCCTGGGAAGTGGCGAGTGCCAAGTACGTGCTCGAGGGTTACTCCATCTCCGACAACTCGGCGGGTTCCATGCTGCAGGTGTTCGAGTTTCGCAAGGTGCTGGTTACTTACTACGTCAAGAGTATTGTCTTCTACACCTTGAGATCACCTAAGCTGAAACAATGGCTGGAGAACCCGGACATCGCCGACGCACTGAAGCCGACGCTCGAGAAGAACTTCATCGATCTCGACCCGGTCTTCAATATGAATATCGACGAGGACTTTGATTTCCGCGCGAGTGGCATCACGCGCAGCAGCTTCTGCAATGTTTATCTCGACTGGATACAATATTGCGCTGGTAAACACGATAAGGTGATACATTGTGATGTTCGCATTATTTCGTCACCTTATTACTACACAAAGCCGTTTGTTGGCGAGATGTGTGTGTGTAATGTATTTGTCAATAATTCGACCCGCAATTTCTTGCTTTAGAAATATCATTAGCATTATTTTCAGAGTTGGGCAAATTAACTTTTTTTTTTCTTTTAAGTTAAAAATTACCTAAAATGCCAACTAATTAATGCCCGTTTTATCATTATGGTTTAAATCTAATTGACGATTAATTCGACGTATTGATCAGTGCCGTCAAGTTAATCGTCGATTAAAATCATGATGGTAGAAACGAGCATAAAAGTTGAGTTAAAATTAGTTCATTCAAGTTAATAGTTAATTATGCAAATGATATATAGTTTAGAGAAAGATTAATTATATAGGCTAGCTTTATATATATATATATATAGGTTTGCAAAGTTAACTTTCAACTTGAGTTAATTTACCCAACCCTGGTCATTTTATATCTAGTAGTAAGAGAAAAGAAATTCCAAGTTGTTCCCTACAGAAGATTGAATTATAGCAAGGAAGCCTTACAGTAGGAGGAATGTTTCGCCTCTACGAGATTAAAGTGACGATTGTAGCACTAAGGTGACGATTTATTTTCTAGAAGCTATATTTCATGCGATACCTTTGTATTTTCTAGTCACTGGATAGAACACGTGATTCATCTCTCGTATCGTTGTGTCTCGCCTTAAGTCTATTGGGAAGACGTGTGTTAGGTGCTGCATCTCACAACACCGTTTCGAGCGTTGAATTTTTTCTTTATGGGCTACATGCGTTGTTTAAAGGTACTTGATGTGTCCTCTCTCACCTGTCCTATAGCATCGGTGTGCATGTTCTGTTAGTATGTAAAAAAAAAAAAAAAAAAAAAANGAGACGCGTATTTAAATAGAATTCACTGTTCATCATTGTCTTAGCAATTGAATGCACAGGTTGTTACATGGCATACTATACAAACTTCAGTTTCTGATGTAAACTGAAGCAGAGAATGTCCTTGTACACGGGTCCAATAGAAGGAAAATTTTTTTACAGTCATTTTTTTCGATTTTTTTTTGAGGTCCCCATATTTAAGATACATAAGTGTTCTCCTTATGCTGAGGCACCCTATGTCATCATTCTTAATTTGTCACAACGTTTTTTGAATTTAGAGCGAATTAGTTTTTGACAAAATTGGTCGTGTACTTCTGTCTATCTCTGAAACAATATCTTTTCATAAAAAGTGACTTCTTATTGTAAGTTAAAATCATATATAATATATTCCACGTTGTATTGAACTAATGTGTTCGATGACAGGAGATTTCCGAATAACCTCGGTCCGCGACGAGTGGGTGTTGCACGATGTCGACTTATTGCGCAGCGTAGTCGCGAAGGGTGTGAGGATGGCCTTGAAACTGCACCAGGACCATTTTATGAGCCCGGAACAGTACGTGGAGTCAGCGCCGCTCTTCGAGGCGATCGACAGTCACGACAAAAATCTCGTTATTAGTCACGAAGCGGACCCACTTTGGAGGAATGCCGTGTTGAGTGGTGCGCCCAGCCTATTGGCGCTCAGGTTGGTATTTAGGTTGGACGATTCAATCGGATTGCTTTGAATTTTTTCGGAATTTTGCAGACACGTGCTGGACGACGGTATAGACGAGTACAAAGTGATAATGCTGAACAAACGTTTTCTGAGTTTTCGAGTGATCAAGATGAATCGCGAGTGCGTCCGCGGACTCTGGGCCGGGCAGCAGCAGGAGCTGGTATATCTGAGAAACAGAAACCCGGAGCGCGGCTCGATACAGAACGCCAAGCAAGCGCTGAGAAACATCATCAACAGTTCGTGCGACCAGCCAATTGGATATCCGATCTACGTGTCACCATTGACCACCAGCTACGCCGAGACCAACGAGCAATTGTGCTCGATAGTCGGCGGACCGTTGAGTTTCGGCACCATAAAAAGTACTGCGTTAAAATTGTGGCGAAGGTGTGTGTCTTTTCCTCGCGTCAGCTTCTCATCCGATATGTACAAATCTGGTTGTCACACTTTTTACATATTGATTAAAAGAGAAAGTTGTATGCAATATCTCAATATTGTGTACATTATAATGTAGCCTCCTGTAGATAAAAGGAAAACAAATCTTATATATATATTTTTACACACGAAGAAGTTACGATCCGAGCGGTACAATAATTCAACGTTCGTTCGTTTGTAGAATAAGAAGGAGATGCGGCCAAGGTTGCTCCTCGGGCGGTACCGGCTCCCAAGATGACGGAGGCTTCGGGAATGATGGAATATACGCGATGACGACTTACAACATACACACCGGTATTTGCCGACTGAGTCACATCCCAAGTTTTTTATGTTACAATAAGGAACAAAATATTAAATATATAGGGTGGGCCATTTTAATGTCCTCACCTAAATATCTTTCTTCTTACGTTGTACAGTCAATAATTCAAAGTCGTTTCAACGTCATTTTTTTTCTTTTAATTGAATCATACATTTTTTAACACATATCGATTCCTATATTTTTAACATTTAACGCTAACACTTTTGTATGTAGAATGACAAGTGGAATAGATCATTGTAAGCATAAACTTTGAAAAAAAATTTTGCAAATTCATCGATGCGCCAATGTACAAATATTAATATCTGTGATCGATTTATATGATTTTATTAAAGTGTTAAGGTGATGTTATCGGAAAGTGAATATTTTATGAAATATTTCGCACATTTTTACGCAAGCATTTGTTATAAATAATATCTTCTCAGGTTTCTTCGAGACCACAAATATTCTCTCGAAATTTCGTGTAAAAATTGTTTATGTATCGTTTAAACGTATTATTTAATTCTTTCAGTGGAGTCGGTAAGAAATTTGTATCGAATAAATTATATTTAAAATAACGGTAATTCAGATATCACGCATAGTTGCACAATAAAATGTTTAGTGAGGCAGAAAAAAACAGCCTACACGATTCATACGACATTTTCTGATTCCACTCCTGATTCGCGCACAATAAAAAATTATCTTAATTTGATTCTTGTATATCGTGTGATAATTCATGTGCAATAAAGCTGTGTGAATGAATTTCAACACTTTTTAGATACACAACTAATGTTAAACAAAAAAAACGTAATCTAATCACGGTATTTTAGACTACTTACAGACTTCTGTATGCGCAGGGTACGCTCAGTCAGGCCACAACACGTCCGGCTCGCAGTCGATGGAGTCCGGCTGCCAAATCGGAGGTTCGACCGGTCGCGGTTCTCTCGGCCGTGCGAATACGGGCTCCCTCGGCGGTAACAGAGGCTCGCTCGCTTCCGTCGGCAAGCCAACCAGCTCCACGCTCGCTAGTCTAGCCGGATTGCTCAGTAACAGTGACATTAAAACGGAAACAAAGAGCGAGACGAGCTTTTCCAGCAAACTGGAGAAAGAAGAGGTTTTCCAAAGGGTTTGCGTAAGTGACCGATATTATAATGCATTCAATATACTCCCAGATCAGCATGGACAAACTTTGTGAGGGTGTAGAACAAAGCAGTGTTGTTTGCAAAGTGGTAGAGGACTTTTTTTGTTCCGTTTGTCTGAGGAATCCTGTAGAAGCATCATCGTTGAATTGTTTCAAGAAAATCGCTTTTATCATATTAATTTCAGTTGATTAAATTAACAGTTCAATGAGATGATTCTCTCTCTCTCTCTCTCTCTCTCTCTCTCTCTCTCTCTCTCTCTCTCTCTCTCTCTTCACCAGATCATGGATCCTAATCAAGTATATGACGCGATCAATCTGGGTCGGCGCATAGACGTGATCTGGCCAGACGAAAGAATGAGACAACAGGGCGGTCGTTCCGGCTGGCAACACTGGGTGCCGGAAAGAGGTATGGAGGGCTGTGTGGTTCACCGTTGGTCGCCGAATCATCGCGATCCCAACCGGCGGTCGCATGTCGACAAGGTCATTCTACTCATGAAGATAGACGACAAGTATGTGCCGATTGCCGAGCAAGGTGTGCGGGACTTGGGTGCGGAGGTTTAGTGAAGTATCATCGAGACTTATACACTCGCGGTAGCCTTTCTACGATTGTGTCCCAAACTTGCGATGTAATACTCGACGCATCAGCGAGAGAGGAGTTTCAATCTCGCAGATGCGGAACATTTCACAAAATTCTTTAACGTAAAGCGCAATGTATTCATATATTGACGAACTACTAGTTTCTTACTTCCACACGAAATCGATACTCGCCATTAGGACATAAATGAGAGAGAAGACGGCTCAGATCGACGACACGTTGAATTAGTCTAGTTCGAATTACGATGTGTTTCAATCGGTATCGTATCTTGGTGTATTGAGAACTCTTTCAATTTATCTTTTGTTGATGTTGTACTTAGAAGTTTTGTGGGGTATGAGTGGGTGATTCTTGTTGGATTTAGCATCACGTTCCTTTCCACCTTGATTGAACCGTTAAAACTTTATTCTTCAAAGGCTTCTGTGCAAAAAGTTAACGTGTTGATGCAATCGAGTTGTAGAATCTGTATAGAGAGAGAGAGAAAGAAAGGGAGAGAAAAAAATATATATTATATATATGTGTATATATATATATCTTTTTGTCACCTCGTAACTATCACAAAATATATTGTTACTTCTCGCGAGTTGCATGGGAGGGCAAAACGTCGATTGCCAAGTTATTCAATGCAAACCGAATTGTATCATGTTGTATTATACTAATGTATTATATGATCATATGTATGTTAGTTGGCTCACTGAACGGTATACGGAGCAGATGTTACTTGTTGCCCAGTGTATTTAAACTTGTTTATCGTAACAATTAAAAGCGTAAGTGTGTTCGGGCGCGTTCCTCTTCCACTAATTTATAACGTATAAATGCGGCATATATTTTTGGCGGTTGATAAAAAAAGAATAGTGGAATTGTAAATTGTATGAGTATATAATAATGTATTATACAAACTCAAGAACGAAACTTCTTAAGTAGGCTGTTGCTATACCAAGTCCTTGGCAACAGGTACAACACAACAACAAGTGACATCGACAAAAGTTTATATACCGGTGTTCGGCAAAATGTATTAATGAATAACGACTTTGAATATATATTTGTAAATGCATCAGCGTACATTTTTTATATGCAGTTGCAAATGTCGCTACTCGCGATGTCACATATATATATACACGATATTTCATATCGTCGTATAATACTAACCCTTAACTGCTCTGAAGAAAAGGAAATCTTCTGGAATTCCATATTATTTATTTTTAAATAATTTTGCTACAGATTGATACAGGACGTGTTGGCGTGAATGTAAAAATTGATATATTTATGAATAAAATCTCTTGAAAAAAACCAGATTCAAAGTTTGATTCTTCATCGATGCATTCAGAAAACACTCACCAAAGCATTTTCACCAAATAAGCTAAGGGTTAACAATACTTTACGATACGCTGATACATTTCCTCTATGAAAATATATATTTATAAATATGCATCAGCATACATAAACATATATTTACAAATCTACACACACATATATGTGTATATATATTCAAAGTTATCCCGCGTAATTAGTTATTCATGAATATATTTTTCCTACGCAACACTGATTTGTATATAAAATATCATTCGTGTTTTTCTACATTTTGTTACAATTCTTTTTTAATCTAAGTGAAATATATATATATATATATATATATATATATATATATATATATATA